GTGCAAGAAAATGTATACTAAGAAGAAGTTTATTGATGTTGCAATACTATAGCAATTAGGAGAATTGCCTTCACCAGACTCGAATAATGCTCATATACTACAGTGAATTTGTAAGTGACACTTACAAACAATTCAATCTATTTCATAACATATGTACACAAAAATTTACAAACTGAATTAATATTATATTTCACGAGACGTTCTGTGAATAGATAGGTTTATACATACATATAGAACTTATAATTGTCCCACTTCAATTATTTATATCTTAAAAAGTATTGAATATCTACATCTAATATTTTGCATATACCAAAAGGGATCGTTCTACTATCATTATGTAAAAGCACGTTAAAATCGAAGTCGGATAGTTTGTGTCCTTCCCATGATAGTTGTAAGTCTCTATAGAGAATTCAATCTAACACTCGATACATTAAGATCTAATCACTATAATTCTGCTGTGTCTCTTAATAGAGTGAAAATAATAAAAGGCCAGCTTGTAGTGATCCCATCATATTCAAGATGTAGATCACTTTTCGTGGTATTGTCCATGAACAAATAATCATAGATACAGGGTGTCCAAAAAGATTGGGACCAAACTTATACTACGTATTACTCAGGTCAAACACATAGCAAAAGTTCATATAAACTTATGTTTGAAAATACTTTATTGAAAAGATACAAGCTTAGAAAAATATTTATGATTTATTGTGGCAATTATAAGAAATGTTTGAAAATTCCTTCCTCTATAAGAATGCAGGATTTCATTCGTCGAATTAGTAATTGTCGAACTTTTTCAAATATTCCATCTGTATTAGAAATAACAATAAATGTATTTTGAATACATTTGTGATCGAACATTTCTTATAACTACCATAATAAATCATAGATATTTTTAAAAGTTTATATCTTTCCAATAAAGCATTTTCGGACATAAGTTTATATTAACTTTTTTTATGTATTCAGTAACACGTAGTATAAGTTTCATCCCAATCTTTTTGGACACCCTGTATATTATGATTTCCAAATTACCACAAAATAGTTGCATACCTTCATGCAATATATCAAATTTTTTAACAGATAACAAATATAAGGGCTTTCAAAATGTTTGATTATTATATTATAAATAATATTAGTCTAGAAGGATATTTTTTAATAGGTATGAGTTGATGAATACTTAAATCTTTAGTTTATTCAAACCATTTAATAATATAATGTATGAAGACGGAAAAACTGTACATTTAATTTTTGATATTACACATGTGTATACCAATGGACCCGTATGGAATCTAAGGTTTATTAAAAAAAACAGTCATGGTTCTAAAAGCTTTCAAGACGTAACCCAAGTACGATGCATGAATTGCTGTAAAATAACAATGTTAACAGCTTCGAGACATTGAGAGTTTATAGAAGTTTATCAGTTCGTTGAACACATTATTATCTATATTGCAAGGTGAACCGTGTAATTTGATTTATTTAATTTTTTCTGTTACTAATGGTCCGGTAAAAATGATTTTGTCTAGTATAACATGGTTTAGAAAGAGCTTTAATAAGAGTATGCTAAATTTTTTGTTAATTGTTATTTTCTATTTCTTCTTGATAACATGCGACATAACGTGTGAAATTCTTACAGCTAAAAATTCTGCATAACGTTTTTTTTTTTGTTTAAATAGAAAAATCTGTATTTGTTATACAGCTTGTCTTAATATCTAAAGAACGATAAATGTAACCAAAAAAATGTGTTTCTTTATAAAACTCTATAGGTGTCCTTGAAAACTTCGAAAAAAAACTATGAGTAAAAAATTTAGTATACTCATTTTAAAGCTCTTCCTAAACTATGTTATACTAGACAAAAATCATTTTTAACAGAGCACGAGTAATAAATCAAGCTGATTAAGTTATGTGGTTCAACTTGTGTATGTATATGTATACATACATATGTATATCATATAGTTTTAAAAATGAATGTTAACATACGTAACTTGTACATGACAAGTGTTTTTGATACAGCGACATTATTCTGTCAACAGATCAGAGGTATTTAAAAGTTTCAATAATTTAACAATACAATGATTAAGGAATTTTTATTAAATACATACTATTTTATGTTCATATTGAATTCTGAAACATAGAATCGATTCACGATAAGTATTTTTTAGAGAAAAACAAACCATTGCCAGAAGCTTTGCAATATTGGAGTTTATAATAAATTATATACCATACAGAGTGTCCAGAAAGGTTGAAAGAAAGTTTATATTACGGATTACTGAGGACAAATAGATGAAAAAAAATTCATATAAACTTATGACCACATTTGCTTTATTGGAAAGGTATTTATGATTTATTGTGGCAGTTCAAAATGCATTTACTATCATTCCCAATTCAGTTGGAATATTTGAAAGAGTCCGATAATCGACAAATTGAGGCTGCATTTTTGCAGAGGCAGGAATTTTCGAACATTTCTTATAACTGCCATAATAAGTCATAAATATCTTTAAAAGCTTATATCTTTTCAATAAAGCATTCTCCGACATAAGTTTATATGAAATGTTTTTTTTATTTATTTGACCTCAGAAACACGTTATATAAGTTTGGTCTCAACTTTTGTGGAGACCCTGTACATTCTGCGTATTCTTACGTGTTCATTGGGTGTAATAAATTTACGTATATATAATTTAAATAAAATGAGCAAATTATTGATTACTTATTCTGTAATTAATTTTCAAAATGTAATTATATGTATTTAATAAAGAAGACTTTGTCTATTTTGTTGATAAATTATTTGTAACTTTAAATTGAGGAATAGTATTCTTATATCACAGCACTTGACACGAATGGGTTAAAAGATACTTTGTTCATTAAATTATTCATTGGATTCATATTCTTTTATAAACTTTAAATGCTGTGTAGCTTTTGGTAGAACATTGATATTTCATACTTAATTGTACTTAGGTTAGGTTAGTCTGTAATTAATTAAATACCCAAAATGTGACACTTAACATGCTCACCTTGAATAATTCGTAAATTATACGTTGTGTAAGAAATTGTTACGTACAACAGTTACACAGTTTAGAATGATGAAGGAAGAAGATCTTTGGACGACATATAAAATCTTTTTCTTTAAAATTAGTAGAGATGTGTTGGACATGTGAAGGTCGATTTCGATTTTTTAAATAGAATGTACAATTCTGTACATCATAACTCGATTGAGTACCAAAATTTGTTGTAAGTTAACTTGTATTAATCTTCAGTGATCCTAAACCTAATAGCATTTATACGTAAACACTGCTGTTCGATAGAAATCTTTTCTAACTAAATCTTTATAAAATATAAAGATTACCTCTTTGATCTGTATGCGAGACAGATTTTCCAAAAACGAAATCAATATTCCTTTAACTATTTTGTTTAGGGACAATAGGTTCATTAATGTTTCTTTTTGCTCTAAATTCGATACTCGATCAAGTTGCGGCAGTGAAAATAAAAAATTCTATTTAAACAATAAAAATTGATCTTCAAATCTCTGAAACCTTTGTATCTAAAAAAGAAATCATACCTCAGCCAATAATCGTACGGAACCTACGCAACTTTTCTACGTCGTGTTGTACAAATAAAGTGTTATAAGAAACGAATGAAGAAATCAATTTCATTTGTTTATAATTAACTGAACCAGGGGCGACTTATCTTTCTATATGCAACAAATTCATTTTGAGCAACCTTAGATTTGTTTTAAATGGAAAATGGTATTGGTTTTTTTTATTTGAATAGTTCTTATCACATTGAATAATATTTTTTATTATAGATAGTTTAGGCATTACCAAGCACACAGAAATGCAAAATACTTGTCCCTAAACATAATTGCAGAATTAATTTTAATTTTTCGCTTCTATAACTGTACACAATACAAACAAAATAATTTATGTAATTGTTACTCAGTTTGATAAAAACTATCTAAATAAGAACTTGCCTTATTCCTTCTAAGTCACCTCAAAAAAAATTTGTTATTCATGAAAAGAATAGTCCATCTTGGATCATTTAGTGAAAAAAAAAGTTGACATCTTTACTGGTTTCTGAGAAATACAGTTTGTAACACTTTATTTATACCACGTGGTATTTGTCATACAACGCAAAATTTGCAAGATACTCAAAATAAGAACTCTTATGGTGTTTCCAGAATGACTGTCACATAACACAATAAATATATTGTACATACAAATGATAGGTATCTTTGATGTGAGTCAATGTTTTGTCAACACCTCAACAAATACAATATTTTGTATATTTTATTTAAAGGTTATGCATACAAAGGTATTAAAATGCAATTAGACGTATTTAATAAACACTCTGTTGATCGGTGATTTATTTTAATAATACTATCTAGCATTTCATCCGCACGACAACTAGAAACTTGGGAAGAGGGAGTTAGGGATACGTTTGGTGTGCCATAGTTCCCCACAAACAGAATTAATTATTGGACTTCCGCGTGGACGCGTCGGTCGAGAGTCTCCTTCGAGGGCTGAGACATTTCGTGACGTTTCTGAGGAGGGTTCGAGATCCCGAGGCTAAACATCGTTTCCGGGTGGTTTCGCAGGCAGAAAAGAAAAATATTGGAAAAGTAACGGGTCTTCAATTTCTCGCGAATATCGTACCAGCGAAATGGAACACAAAGAAACATCGAGACTGTGGGAACTCTGTGCGTTCCTGTGCGCGTGCATGCATTGAGAATAAGTGTGCTCGCGTGTATCTGTTATATTGTTTGTATACGTTTTCGAGTCTCTCTTACATATATATTTCTCTGTTGCGTGTATGTGTGCGTGTTTGTGCATTGTGTCGTATGTACATTAGATTGTGATCGTAACGATCGACGGTAATCGTTCTTTCAAATACACGGGCACTAAGAAGTGGTTGCTCAGGTAAACGGGTGGGGGGATGTATTTAGTCAAACGATTGGAATGATCAGTAATCGATTTTCAGCGTAATGACTGAATAAGACCTAGAGGTAGTACCATTTTCACTTCGGATAGCGAGCTGATACTCAAGACGTACATGGTGACGCCCACCTCGACAGGAGGACCTGAAATCGAAGGTTAGTCAGACTGAGTCGGCCGTTTCCGGCCGCGGACATGTTACACGATGGGGTGACTATGGCTTTTTTGTTCATTGATCATCGAATTATCATTAACATTCGCATTACTCTCTAAATACATTTATTTTTTTTAATTTTTTTTTTCGTTTTTTGTGAATTTACTGTGAGTGTATAATGTTAGGGTTTTTCTTTTTTTAATCGTATCGCTACGCCGGATGGATCGCTGAAAGTGATAATTGCTCTCAATTAGAGGACCACCGGTTATGGTTCTTTTTTTGTTACGTGTGCTTGGTTATACGTATCGTTTCGCAACTACAACGATTCTTCGCGGCAGTGCTGAAACATTGATCGTCGCACGGCAGAATCGAGTCTCGGTTTCGTTCGAGTCCAAATATTCACCGCTAGATGTATTGTGGAAGCTTACACTATTATTGTTTGTTACTGTAAGTTCTACAAGTCTTGATATTAGGAAATATTTCTAGATAACATTGTCCTAATTGTAGAACACGTTGTAACATAAGAAAAATAATTATAAATGTAATATTATAATGTAAAATATAATCAGTAATCATCAATACTAAGAATATAATCATTTGGTGTTTTGTGATGAATCATATTTAAATGATGAATCATTCAAACACAATTCCTAGGAGAAAAAAACAAAGAGAAAAATGATGTTCATTTATGGAAACAAACATTAAATCCAAATTTTTCTGTCCTTTACAATGAATAATTGCAAAATCAGTTTAAATATTCGCCACTAAACGCGAAGATCTATTTGGTACTAGTAAAATATGAGTCAAGATCATTAAACTAAGAAGTTGGTCAAATTGTTAATCGTGTTTGGGATCTGGTCTATCAGATAAAAGCCTCACTGATGAGTCCAACTAGCAGATTTGTGATCTGGGCTTTTGAAGTTTGCAAAGTGATCTTGGAAGCATATTTATATTTTCATTATATTATGAGTACGATTTGGTAAAAGGTCCTGAAGGTATTTTAAAAGGTATGGTTTTCTAAAAGATGCATCAATGAGTTGTTTCTCAAGGTCGTTAAACATAATTAAGTGGTAATGTAAGGTCAATTCATTGATGTCTCTCTAAAAAGAAGATTCCTTATAAGTAGACTGAGGATCTTTATGCAAATTCATATTTTTATTTATGGAATTAATGAAATGGGAGCTTCATAGAGGGTTGTCTCAACCCCTAAATATAATAATTCGTATCTTACTTTAAGTATTTCTTCAACCCCTAAATATAATAATTCGTATCTTACTTTAAGTATTTCTTATATTTTTGCATATTAAGTGCATTCTATAGCTTTTTGAGAATTTTACATAAATGCATAAACATTCGCAGTCTACTTATAAGATTCCAATCTTCAGAACTTCTACCAAATTTCATACATAAGGTTTTGAAACCTTAAAGAAGGCTGGATACTATGAAGTGGTACATCAGGATCTATCACCTAAATTGCTTGAAAATTTTTTTTTTGTAACAAATGTTTGAAACAAAGTCATAGGGTATAAAGTGATGTATATGCTGATATGATTGGTTTTTTTCTATATTGCTTTTTTATCGAGATTTGAAAGTCACTTTGAATTTTTTAATCATAATGTGTAAAATTTGTCTCTAATACTAAAAAGAATATGTAAAACAAAGTAAAAAAATATAAACAATATGCGTGCAAAATTCAATACTTATCGAGATATTGATTAACTTATGTTCAATATAGAAGATGCTCAAAATATTGTCCATTCTGATCAACAGACGCGTGTACATCTATTGTGTACATACTACATTAATAAAAATGTTACAAGGGATAAATCAATTACAATAAACTTTCATTGGCATTGAAATCGTGTGTTTATCGTTTACATTCTATTGTTCTCTTATTGAACATACATGTAAGTTACTTAATACCTCGGCAAGTATTGGATTCTAGATCCATATTGCCTTATAGTTTTTTCCTTAATTTTATATATTCCAGTAGTAGAATCAAATTTTTCACGTTATGATTAAAAAATTCAAAGTGACCAAATCTCGATAAAAAAGCAATATAGAACAAAAATAATCATACCAACGTATACATCATTTCATACTTTTGGACTTTTGTTAGAAATATTCTTCTGTAGAAGAAATGATTTTCAAGTAATAAGGTGGCAGATCTCAGTGGATCACCCAATATGCATACTAATTTGAATTATCCAACTAGCCGTGTAATTGAAAATTTGAGTAGAATTTTGTATCCCTCCCTTAGCTCCTCATTCCATGTAAAAACAAACTACAACGTATAGTTTCTCCTAAAGTTTATATTTTATGCCCTTAACAGTATAAAACCAAATCCACTTTGCTGAAAACTGCGTTATTCAAGGGACAACTGTAGTAGTGAAAACGTTGGTATTAAATATACTAATATACAAAATAAATATATCTAGCAAGTGCCAAACTGTATATTTTTCACTAATTCCGAAAAATATACTTTTGTACATACATACATGTTGTAGAAGTTGATAATTTCACTATGTACTCTCAATGTAAAGAGCAATGGTGTTAACGCATATTACATTTAAAGTCAATGGTAATATTATCAAAGATTACCCAAAGTCTAATTCTATGATAAAAATAAAAATGGTGTCAACAATCTCAGGAGATCTGTTTAGCGTAATACTTTTGCATGTTTGCAGGAAAAATAGCCCAGATATGTTTATCGGTGATTTATCGATCAATATATCCCCAAAAATGGCGCTCAATGACTTGTTTAATTAATCATAATAAAACAATCAATCAATTCCTCGTTTATAATATTCACGAACATTATTACTGAAGGATAAACCGTGTAATTTATTCACTTATAATTTTTGGTACTGGTAGGTTGATCAAAATATTTTTGTCATTGATGGCGTAGATCAAAAGGTCTATCAAGGTTATAACATTAAATTTTTTATGCGTCCTCTTTTTCTAAGTCACTTTTAAAGTCACCTTTTCTTTTATGTACTACCATGTGATTCTTGTTGTTTATCATATAGCAGGCATTGAAGCGAAATCAACGAACTGAAGGAACGTGAACTTCAAATGACCTTTTTTATCAAATTTATATCGCCAGAATATGTATATATCAGAATATATATCTCAAAATCGCTTTAAAATCATATTGTAACAACTCGTAAATTTTGGGATTATTCATAAATAAATAAAAGTGACCTTGAAAAATAAAAAGAAAGTGGCGCAAACAATAACATTTTGATCGATTTGCTAATAACCGAAATAGGAGTGAACAAGGTATGTTGTTCACCTTGTATATTTTATTACATACATTTTATTTATGGAAAAGCTTCCATATTGTTCATTCTAGGATTATACATTAAGGGAAAACGTATAAGAATTAGACATTGATCCTGATATTTCAAAAACTACAAGTATATTTTCAAAACGTTTTGTTTCATCAATATAAACGAAATCAAGCTCACTTAAAGGTTGAAAAAAACAAATGAAAAGTAGACTGATAAAGTTAGAAAAACAAAGACGTTTCAAAAATCTAATGTTATCATATTGAATACTCAACAATGAGAGTCGTCTGCTAATAATAAAAATAAAAAGAACGAAGTTATGTGGTTCACTCTATATACAGGATGTATCCTTTTAGTTTAATCACCATTTTTCAAAAATTTCCGTCATTCTGTAAAAACATATTTAAAGATGTCCAATATACGTTCAAAAATATGGGCACGACTATAGAAACGTTAACATAGAAAATTACTTTATTTCGATCAAATTATATATTCAAAATTAGAGTAAGGCTATCAAACTAATATGTTTATTAAACAAATACAACGATAATAATAATGCCGTTTTACATGATACGATAAATTGATACTAACGATAAGTTGACTAAGTTTATGACAATCTACTGTTTACTTTTACTATTCGTCAATTGTATTCATTTATATATCGGGCATTCACTGTTCTGCTGAAAGTAGTATTATCGTAAGTTTCATGATTCTTCGTTGTAATATAGTGACTAATTTTAGTTCAAAAAATTTCTCTGCTAAATCATATTAGCAAAAATACCTGTAAAATAAGTAGTCGAACTTAAAAGATACACGCGGTAGAAGAGACTCACTCAGTAGTTCTATACTTCTATTCTTTGTTCAATACAAATGTTAAACTATTCTTTGTTATTTCTAACTATTCTTGTTACTTCTATTCTTTGTTAGATACAACACCTTTGTTTATAATTAATAATTAGTAATGCACCGTGCATCGAAATAGAAACCGTTCCAGTTTTATCGGCGAATTGGTGACTATTTCGACGCTCGATAGTCTCGTGGCCGGCATTACCATTAAAAGTTTATTAAAAAAAAAGGATGGAATGGTCCGATGTTGGAGGAGTTGAAGAATGAAGTAAAGTATGAGAACAAGATGACTGGGTAACAGAGAGAAAGAGCAAGAGCCGACGTTTTCCGCGATAAAGTTGACTCGTAAACAACGCCACTGCCAGCGGTATCGTCCACCGTTCCAACGATATATCTTCATTTCCATTTCTGGGATGTTTTTAAACCCATATAGCCAGCGAATGTCCCATATGGGACACATATTTCATAATGACGGTTCCGCGAACGCGTTGCAAAACGCAGTGAACGGACGTGGTATTGAGTTAATTGAAATGCGTTGGTATGGCGTGCCTCTGGTGACGAATCGGACCCGAGAACATGCTTTAAATAAACAAAATATACGAGAAAAAATAATAGTGGTAAATATTTACTTTAGTGTCTTTGTTTATTTTTTCTGTTTATTTTGTAGTGTATCTGTTTATTTTTTTTTTTAAGAAATATTTTTTTATAAAAATCAGATGCAGCTTTTTGTGAAAAAAGAAAACTGAAAAATATAAACAGTTTTAAGGAAAAACCACTAAAGTAAGTATTTATCATAATAGTAAAAATAGAAACTCGGAAAAAGGACAACTAACAATTCAAATAAATCTGACGAAGA